ATGCAATGTTTGAATATATTATGTTTGTCACATGTATAAATCCGCAGGCCTTGGGGGAAAATGCAACTGTATATTTTTAAGTAAAACGTATTCATCTTTAAGAAAAAATATTATCCGACTTCTCACATGATGAACTTTTTTCAGACTAAATTTTGAACCTACCCGATAAGTTTGTCGTATTTAGAAACCATTTCCAGGTCGAATTCGCCTAACCCCTACGTATTTCAGAGAGACAAATTTAATATATAAATTTCTGCAGGAACATAATTTATGATTTACAATACAAGCTACTAAAAAAAATAACTAAAATCTTTTAAAAGGATTTATATAAAATATATTATAATAACATGTATTTATGTTTAAAGTCAGGTCAATCAATCTATTATCAATTGATCAATTTTCGAACTAAAAAAGTTCATTTTGTATCTTTGTATTCATAATTATGAAAAAAGATACACATGTGCTAGTAAATCTAACTTACATTTCCCATTTTTGTGATGTTTCCCAAAAGTAGCGTAGGTTTTACAAAGGGCACACCAAGTCTACTCCAAAAGCTTAATTTGTACTTTGAATATCTAAAAAAAAAAACACATTTCATACTTATTTTACTTTATTTATTTACTTTAATCACTTTTAAATATTCAATCTTAATTATATCTTTATGTGTGTAATAATTAAGACATTAAAAAACCTTCCATTTTCCTGTTTAAAAACAAACCACCAATTTAAGGCACTATGCCTGAAGTATGTTGCACTTTGACTTAACAAAATGTTCGTTTGTTATTTAACATCTCTCGGTAAATTTTCATTCATATAGAGACGCCACCACTTGCCGGTGGAGGGCTACAAATTATAACATAAACTTGGCACTGAGGACAATTGAACAGCGAAAGATTTTGTTTTTTTGCAAGTACCTACTGGGGCACGGGACCTCGATTTTTAAGGTCTAATTCGAAGAACGGGTTAATTTCAACGACCTGCTGTGGAATTCGAACCTGTGATGTAAGGTTTAATTCCTTACTCCGCGACTCTAAAGCAGACAGTATAACTTCTGCAGAACGCAGGCGACACTTACATAATTGTAATTGGTCAACAAATCAATACAAATATAATAATAATTAATTTGTTGCAAATACTTGCATAGGGGCTGTATCTGTCCTTTTGATAAAGAAATCTACCACTGATGACGTCATATGTAAACATCAAGAACTTGGAAATTGATCTTGTCGGATAAAGAGAATAGTATGTAAAAGAATACGAAAAATGGATTTTAATTAAGAAATGACTCTAATTCGTGGCCAATTTTGTCTATATAATTAAATAAATGTGGATACAGATGATTCAGCTGGTTTTCAAGGCGGGACGGGGTGGGGGGTGGGGTCTCAATACCAAACCAGATTACACAGAATAATTTGCGTTCCTGTTTGGAAATCAACTAATGAAAGGCGAGAATACAAACAAAATTAAATTATTAAGGGATAGTTGGATATGTCGGGTATATTGTCTATCACAAATAAAACTGAACAAAGTAATAACTTTAGGAAAAGAGCAAAAACGAACAAAAAATAACCTAGCTAATAAAATAATCATTTCAAACTCACCACTGTCAAAGTACTCAAAAATACTATACTTTCCCCACAGGAAAACTTCTCGAACACATGCACCAAACATTCAGGCCAAATGCACACAGTAACTAGTATTTGTCTTGCAACCACACAGGTCATACAACATTTTCTTTGGGAAGGACACCATGCACTCACTTCTACGGCCTGCTCTGAACTCACTAACAAGTACATGATTTTTTTCAAACCGGTCTGACAGCCGTAACCAGCTATCCGTAACGACTAAACGATGAGAATGAAATTATGGTACGCCATAGCCAACACAATAAGAATAAATGAAAATTGTGACATCATTATTATTTTCGTTCGGTATGTCTATAAATTTGGGAAATTTTGGAAAATTTATCATATACTACAAGCTAAAGTTGCAATAAAAAAAATAACAAGAATGCTGTCGTCTGCACGCATCTGGAAAGAGCCCTTAGACCTAAGCCTAAGGTTCCGTATATCGATCTTTATGCTATGTTCGAGTTTGCGATGTGACAGAATACTATGTATTTTGAAACTGTTGTATCTATAATGCATAAACATTCTTATTTTTGATACGTTTAAAAGCATTGAAAACCTACATTTTCGTTTTTCCTCTGCTACTGAAATTTCATCATCACAGTTCGGCTCTCTAGGCTAGCAAGGTTGGGGACTGCCGTCGAGGGGTGTACTTGTAGGCCTTATTGTGATATCGGCAATTTTTAAATGTTTTAAAATTTCGGTCGATTGGCTCTTTTAACGGAATGCCATTCGGCATTCCTGTCGCTTTGAAATGGGCGATCCCGTCGTAATTCTTCCTCTCTCTTTTTCACTGACACAGTACGAATTTCTCATGCCCATGTCGTAAATATCGTTATTTTGCACACGTCTTGGTCATTAATACAACAGAGAAAGATTGTTTAGTTAAAAAAATATATAGTTAAACATGTAAATCATGTAACAACTTCAAAAACTTGATTGTAAATTATTATCAGTTTGAATTTTAAGACATGCTTTGGATAGATATTCTGCATTTACAATATTAGAGAAAATTTGTCATATACTACGAGCTAAAGTTGCAATAAAAAAGATAATACGAATGCTGTCCTCTGCACGCATCTGGGAAGACCCTTAGGCCTACAGAGTAAGAAGTACGAAGACCCATTTGGGGTAAACTGATCAGCAGAATTCATCCTTAAATGTTTTAATTCAGGATATGCATCATCCCTTAAAATACAATAGAAAACACCTGTAAGACCTTGTCGATAGCCGCTTGTCAATACTACCTACGATGATGATTATGGCAGCACTTTTCGAAACACATTTCTGGTCAGCAACAAATATATCAAATCACATGAATCTTTTTTATATAAGGAAATCAAAACAAGCTGAAAAAATAAACTGGCAGTGTTAAATAATGATTGTTTTACATCGACTAGATAAATTTGTGGGTGGACTGAAAAGTGTGGAAGTCACACAGATATAGGTGACACACGGGACGTCATTCTCACGCTAAAGTGCACACAAAATATCTAGGTGAACATAAACTCATTCTTTACTGCTTTTTAACTTCAACACTCGGTCCCAAATCTGCAAGCACTGTTTTAACTGTTGGGCAAGGATTTAAATTACAATAGTTACATGTACCCTATCAAACAAATCATAAATCAAGAAAATACTGCAAGGTACATTGTAACCTCTAAGGAATAAAGTAGATACAATAAGGTTTCAGAGGTCAAAATGTCAAAAAATGTATTTTTACAATAGCTCTAAAACAATATGGTTTATAAAGTTTAAACGTATGCAGTTTACAAATAGCTATCATTGATGGACAGATAGAAAGTATCACTTTAATACATAAAAGCATTTGCATTTTCAAAAAAAAAATGCATATGTTTAATTCTGCATTTTTAGTAAAAACTCTCACTGCGGAAATGATATATGTTTATCAATGAAGGGTAAGTTTGAGGTAAATGGTCTCTGAAAGGCTGTTGTTGAAAGCATTAGATGTATTGTGACATCCGCCATTTGCAATGTACTTTCCGTTTCATATCATTACATTTGAAGAAAATAAACAGAAAAAAAACTTTCCAAATGCTACACAAGTCCAACTTGCCCTTCACTGAATTGATAAACATATACTGTTTCTGTAATGTCTTTCACTTAAAGTACGGAATTATTAGGTGTATTTTTAAAACGAATATATGCATTTAAAATAAATCTCAATAAATATTATCCAGTGATAATTTATATCTGTTATCTGCTATTGTAAAAAGATTTTTTGGAAATGTTGACCCTTTATGAAACCATAAAAAGGATAAAAAATACTTACAGATAGAGAGACAGGAAAAACAGGAACAATGTCAGGAACCAGCCTGGGATATTGATGACACCCAATATCTCCATCTCCTTTTTTTAGTTAAGGAAACGTATTTTGAAAGATAAGTCTTGTAGACATGAGAATTGCAATATATATTTACATAACCCTGCAAGGTGAAATAAACGTCGATAACAGCAGGGATATGTTTAGGTATGGGAACGTTGTTGTGTCAACTTTATGTATATGGAGTAGGGAATCTTTGTGAGATAGACATTTTAATAATTTTTTTAATCAATGACCAAGGATGTGTAAGAAGTCTTTCTATAAATAAATTACTATCTTTAATTTACGACTAATGCTTTTTTGCTTGTTTGTCTGTTGTTTTTTCGTCTCTCTCGAGAATATTTCAACATTAACATTTCCCGGTGGAGAGCTGCTTTCACGTACGTACTAGGAACTTACTTGCAGCGATTGAGCAGTGATTCGAACCCGCGACATAAGGATCAACTCATTAATTCGCGAGTGTAGAGCAACGACGTATTTTTCCATTATCACGACAAGGAGCACATGGTGAATGTTTGGAGGCCCGTGTTTGCTTTGTTTCTATTTTGTATTGTTCGATGGACATATGATCTTGAATACTGTTTGTTATCTCCATATCTCATGCTCTAACCACAGTGCCACGCAGTTACTTTTATGCCTTGTAACCACAAGAACATCATCCTCTCAAATGCTTTTATTATACAAGATGTGTTTGTTAAAACTTGATGCCTGATATATATTGGTATCTTATTGTATATTATTTAACAATTGACAATATAACACACTTGGTGGTAATAAAAATTCAGACTTTAAGAGAACACGTTTAAAATTATATTAAACAAGTCTTTCACAGAAAACGATGTGTTTATAACTTTCTATATTCGCTGTTAGTATCAAAATGATATCATAATTTGACAATATTGATCAAAATTACACATTACACACAGGGAGTACTTTGTAAATGTCGCGTGGCATCCATATCAATGTTTAAAATATTTGCTTATTTATTTAGGAACTGTCCAATCCCATAGATTATGAAGGAAAAGGATATTGTACTCAGGAAAAGTGAGAAGTGTTTCGATACGAATAATGAAGAACGGATTTATTATTACTAAAAGCTTGCAATTATTATAGAAAAGAAAGTCATTTTTCTTACTGGAAGTTTATCAACCACAGCAAACATAGGTAATTATATAATGCTTTTTACTTATGAAATTAAATTTAACATTTTTATTTTAATTTTTAGAAAAAAAATAAAGTGTTTTGTTCTAAATAGTCTGCTGGCTATTTTATTTTATTATAATCATACGAAGATGTAGAAGCATTTGTATATCAGTATTAGATGCGAAATCGTTACAGAACCATGATTGAAAACAAAACTGTTTGAGATCTTAACGTTTCATAAACAGTTGCAAACTATATCTGAGCTTTTATTAGTCATATATATTAAACCTGCTTGTAGTGATAGTATCAGTTTAGTTTGAAAGAAAATTGACTTTTAAATTTCGTTTAAAATGATCCTTAGTCAAACAGTTTTGTTTATTGAGATAAATAGTGAAACATGATATAATCTTAATAAGAAATCAAATTGATATAAATAAGAAACTTATTACTTATTCATTGCTTTACATTTTGCGCTTGTTGTAAAACGATCTTGATTAAGTTTTAAGTGTATAAAAAAATATAATATATTTAAAATTCAACCCAAACATATGCAAAACAAATCATTCTTTATTCTAAACAAAAGAACATTCATTTGAAGATAATTTGTAAGCCTATACATTATATTATGATAATAAAGACATTTTGTTTACCAAATATTTTATCTTAAAATCACATCCGTTGAACGACAATAAATACAATAATGTGCAAACTTCCTACAATCGATTCGAAATCTTGTACACAATTTAGGAAGATAATTTTAAGCAAAACAGAAGGCAAAGATGTAAACCAATTAACCTTCGTGAATTTTTTAATGTTTAGACATACAGTAAAACTTCTCTGAACCGGCCAGCTGCCGGACTGAATAAAATGGCCGGACTAGAGGGGTGGCCGGTTTCCCGAGAATCTAACATATTGAAGAAATGCAGAACTATGTGACAGATGCTAGAAAAAATATTTAATATTAGTTTCTGTTATATTTATCTGTCAACATGTTATTAATACATGTTGATTTTTATAAAAAGAAATTAAAATAATAAGAACAGATAAAAAAACATGGAAAGTTACTTTATTAACCATATAAGAAGAAATAAACCGGACTCTTTACCTTAAGTGACCTCCATACAGAATACTGCATGTGTATCTGTGTATCGCTTACATCATTAAAAAATTGTTTCTACTTCAATTAAAAGTAAATAATTAAAACATTTCTGAGCAAAACTTCTGTTATTTTAATTATGAAATGTCTATTTTGGTAAACATTTTATTTTATTTTCTCAGCATTTTTCATCAGTTCCCAAATTTTAAGGTCGTTTACGTGTATTTAAAAAGAATATGGCGTGCGAGAATTTGTTGATTCTTTCTGTGATTTAAATTTATTAGTTGCTTGATATTTTATTAATTCAAGTTTAATTGATGTTAATAATATGTACACAGCTTAGACCGGCCATTTACGTAGTCATGTGAATCAGGAGGCCACGTGACATGCTCCGAAGCGTTTTGTTTAAAGAAACTGAGAGATTTCTGAGTCATTTTTCTTACTATGCAATTTATTTTTTGTTTGACAAGAACATTTCGTTTGTCAGAAATGGTCAAATCTTAGCAATAGGATTTGTGGATAAGAATATCTTTTCAAGGAATGAGCATGGGGACAATCACACCCCTAGTACTTTGTTGGGAGCGTCGTTTAACATATGTGGATAAAGTATGGACACTTTCTTTTTATCATACCTGATATGTTTAATGTCTAAAGTGAATGATATTTCAGGGTTTATTTATTACATCATTGTTTATTAAGATATTCTACTATTTTCCTAACTTTCACTTGGCGATCTTTTATAAAAAATTGCTCAACTTAAGAATACATCTCTTCCAAAGCCTGCTTTCACTTGACAACAAAATTAATATCAATTTTAAACATCTCCCTGATTTCACTAAAACAGTCAATCCAATTAATGATTGTACTTTTAGAAAGTCTTTGGTCTTTGAGTCAAATGCTGACCGACATTTTTCATAATAATTGTTTTTTTTACACTATTTATACCCTTTATGGACGACGGATTTTTCCGTTATTTCCCGATAATGAAAAGAAACACACAGCGGGTGTGACCGGTTGGCAGGGAATGCTCACTCTTCCATGGTAACTGGTCCCACTTTTGATGATTTGGAGGTCCGTGTTTACTCTGCTCCAATTTGTATTGTTTTTTTTGGACTTTCATATTGAATAATGTTCGTTATCTCCATATCCTTTATAAAACTTGTACAAATTATTATTATGTACTACTGCAAAGTAATTTTCAAGGTATTTGTTTACAGCCATTCGTTGCTGGAGTAAGACAGATTCAACCAGTTTTTGTAACAAGTCAAGTGATTTGTAAAAAGCCACCCATTGACGTAATTTTTACACTGTAACGTCACAAACATAGATAAATCATTTTAAAACATCTGCTGTGTATAGAAAATGTGCATAAGAAAGAAAAATTAAATCTTGATTTACATAAATTTCATAAGTTATGCTCAATGGCTAATAAACCATTTATTCAACTTTAAAAACAAGAAAATTTGAGCAAATTTGCACGATTCCTTAACAAATCACGGCAATTGGCTTTTAAGGATATTAACAACATGTAAGCAAAAGTTTAATGTGCTATCGATGACACATGACCGAAAGACTTATGTCTTGTTTATGATGCAACACTATCCAAACATAGATATTTTCACATTTAAAAAAAGATTGAATTATTGCTAATATATAAAAGGAAAAAAAATCATCCTACTACAAAAGCAATTGAATTCTAACAAACACTCAGCTTTTGTTATCTATATTATTGTTTTATTTTAATATATGACTTGGAACGGCATTGTTAGTGGAAGATTTATTCATTTTGGCGAGCAACAGAAGTCTATTAAGCTATTCAGATAATCTAACCAGTATACCGATATAATAAGTAATATAATTCCCTTAGTGACTTTAGTTATTGCAGTTATGGCAGTAGAATTACTCAAAACTGGAATGGTTGGAAAAAATTTTACAATCACATATTTTGAAAAAAAAATACATACATCAACAAATACATGTATAGCTCGCTTGAAATTGCTGTAGTTTTAGGATCTGGTTCCCGCTTTGTTTTATTACTGCACAGTTATATTTTGGAGTTTATGATTATTACATGGAAATTATACAAACTATGAGTGTTCTTTCGTCATGCAGCAAATTTACATATAATTATGTTTGCATATTAACGTTGTGAATTGATTTCGTCCCCGCTTCAAAATGTTGAATTCAAGTGTCTAAAGTTCAGGGATTTCCACTGTTATTTGGGTATAGTGTGTTTGCTTTCTCACAAACTTACTAGTAGTACTCAGGAAATTATTGCAAGTGTACATGTTAGACGTTGGACTAATGAAAATGTATTCCAAAATTAATAAAAAAAAAGAATATGAATTAAGCTTTTTTAAATATTTATATTAAATATTAATATTTTTCAGACTCCCTCGATGCATTGTTTTGCGTGATCATTATTACTAAAAAGTATAAATTTTCCACGAACCTCGCAAAATAAAGAAATTTCGATTATACAAACACTATACAACAACAGTATTTTGTTATGTCTGGATAAGAGAAAAAAACAGTTCACTGTTTGTTTTGTTCCTTGATCATGAACAACACTCGACAATCATCCTTTACAAAATATTCTTAGAAAACCACAACTTTAAGATTATGTCACTTGACGTCCATATTACTGTTTTAAATATTCGATTATCTTAAGACTGTATGATCCTATAAATTAAACAAGACCCCTTAAACCCATTTAAAGTTTGCTATCTTTGAAGACTAAGCATCCACATTCATATCGGAAGTGAATAAACCACAGGCAAACAAGGGTATCTACAGATTCTGACTTTCTTGATAGGAAATTAAATCTAACGTTTTACAATAAAGTGTTAACTTCTAAATAGTATTCTTAATATTTCATAAGAATCATTTGATTTTTTTTTTATGCATGGCAT